GACGAAGACAGGGAATGGGACTAGAAATTAGCTAAAATGAGATTGAGAATGAGAGTTAAGCTTCACTTGGACTGAGACTAAGAGAGAGAGAGGGAGAAAGAGGTAGGGAGAAAGAAAAGGAGAGCTATAGAGAAGAAGGTACTGAGACTGAGATAAGCTAACATAAATTCATACTGAACGAGACTGAGCCTATTAAACTGAGACCTGTCTCTAGAGGGCCTGAAACTGAGACAGAGTGTAGTACATAATTGCATAGAGTAGCTTCTCAAAGTGCAAAGAGATCAAATTACCGCTGATTCGAATTATAAAAAGCATTTTGCCTGTCAGTAGCTTGCGATGCCTGCGAATCACACAGTTAGCTCTCATATATACGGAAAATACATACATACGAAATATCATAATATTTATGAGCGAGCTGAATGATAATAATAGTACAAAAAAAAAAAGTTTTAACCAATTTGCAATCCAAATTTGAAGTTCTTGGCATTCTATACCCTCTCTCTCTCTCTCTCTCTCTCTCACACACACACACACACACTTTCCTCAGTTTCTCTACCTCTCTATCTGTCTCTGTCACATGACGATTTTCAAAAGACAACTCGTTAACAGTGGCTGTCATTGCCGTAGCCGTTCATTCCGCTCCTGGCAGCACCCGGCAACCACCTGCCCATTGCGAGTGCGGCGTGGCCTTGTCTGCCCGTGCGAACGTTTTGTTGTTAAGCCATTGGAATTTATGGCGTTGTTTACACAAAAATTGCATTCGCCTTGCAGTTGAGTAAACACACGACTCGCCAACAAGAAGAAGAATAACTAGAGGAAACAGAAGAAGCCGAGGCAGCATCCAAAGCAGAGACAGTGAACAACCAAAGCTACACGAAAAAAAAGGAAAAAAGAAACTAAAACTAAAAAACAAAAAGAAGTTATGCACGCCCTTTACAAGTCTGACCGATCCGGATATACCCTGTATTCTTGCTGCTGGGCTATTTAATGGAATAGCCAACAAATTGAATTCCCTCTTTAGAATGCCAAACTAATTCTAGCTGCAGCTATTCACTGAGACATTGCTGCAGAGAATCGCCTTTTGATGCTAATCAGAAATAAATATATTCAGTTGACCTTGCCTTACCAATTCGCAACTGGCTAAGGGGTATGCCAGAAGGAGAGCTGGGGAAAAAGACAAGAAAAACACACAATTTGGCAAGTCAAATTGAAAGAGCTGCGCTCCAGCGTTTCGGAATATCAAAATTTTCAGCTAACGGCATCCTTAATGAATGCCAATTACTACTGAAGGACCTGCAACTCGATTATGTTAGTAAAAATGCAGAAAAGAACGTAACAAAGAGAACCGATTTAAATAACGACTATTTTCAATTGCTCGCAATGAACTGAAGGACTCGCAACAACAGCAACAACAACTGAAGTTAACTCGAGCAGAAGGTGTGCATACTTTAAATCATGGCCAGCTGCTGGCTGTTGAAAGGAGCTGAGCTCAGCTGGGCTAGAAGCCGCTGTACTACGGAGCGTATACGCAATGTATATTAATTATTACAATGTTGCCCACACACACGCGCACACACACACGCACGCTTACTCACTCATTCACATAAATTTGAAATAACCATATCGTATAATTATATAAGCTGCACAACGACCCAAATGTGCGATGCCCAAGCATTAAATAGACGACGACAAAGATGAAGAGAGAGAGAGAGAGAGAGAGAGAGAGATAATACGAGTTTGGAATGTGGAAATGGGTAAAGAGACGTCCGACTAGGGCCATGTTGCTGTCATTTGTGGGTCGCAAACAACGAAACTGCATTTAGGTGTAGCCAAGAACTGTCAGCCAAGAGCACACAAAGAATCCAAATCGGCCAACTGAACCTTGCCAAAAACTCGCATAAGTCTGCTAACCAATTACAAAATTGAGATCAGAGATGGGAATCGGAATCGGCATCGGAATGGCAATCATAATGGCCTAGGTATTATTAGAAAGAGACAGACGACAGTAGTACCTGAAATAAAATTATACGGCTTTAAGAATATTTGCATTCAATTTGTTTATACATTGTATGAAACGTTTTTTTTTGCTCAAAGTAAATTCAATTAGACTAAAGTTGAACTCCTAACGGAAGAATGCCATGAATAGTGCCCAAGACAAGGGCTAGGATCCCTCCAATTGAAAATAGAAGCCGAAGCAGTATTTGGTATTACTTCTGAAAATGTCTTGAGCTCAATTCATACGAATTACCCAATGAGCTCTTCAAGGGCGGATCCATATACATACATATTAGAAATGTGAAACCTTTGAAGTTGAACCAAATACGAAATGCTGAACTAATTAGAATTTGAGAGCTGCGACGGCGACGGCGACGACGACGGTAATCGGATTTGGTCAGTGTGTCAGGCAGAAGAAATTAAATTGTTCGCCTGGCTTTTGTCTATTAACACAATAAGCCAAGGACATTAAGTTGTATGTGTAAACGGTGTCTGTGCGTGGGTATACTTGTATGTGTGTGTGTGTGTGTGTGTGTAATAATTTGTCACGATAAATGTGCGACACGCAAAGCAATCATAAAATGTGCTTTTTGGTTACCTTAATGTGATTGTCAGGCCACATGTAAGCATTGAAAGCAGTCAATTAGCACTAACACAGACGCACACACGCGCACACGCGCACACATGCACACACGCACACATAGACAGCCGAAGTGTGCCATATAAAGTATACGGCATGTGTACCCAAAACGGCAGGCGACAAAAGCGGTCGCCGCAAAGGTCCGTTTAACTTAACGTTTCCCACGCGAGCGACAACAGCGTTAACCCACAAACAGTCACAGACACACACGCATACACATATATATACACACATGCATACATATGTATGTATATACACCTTGTCAAATGAATGGGTAAACGGGCAAGTTGTTGGCTAAGAGCATTCCGAGCTGCCTGCCCAACGGTGCACTGAGGTCTTAAAGTAGACAATGGATTGATGTAGCTCTGGAGAGGCATAAAGTGTGCCACAAAAAACATAGGTAGTTAATTTTTAACAGACTCAAACGAACTGACAGACAGACGGACGGAAGTACGAACGGACTGAGGGAAGGACGCACTTTCATTTTCGCTCAACACTTGCCACACGATAGCCAACTCAAAGTTCAAAACGAGCTAGAGTTTATAAGGCTCACGCCCATTGGCACTAATTGCCAGCAGAGCTGTGGCTGGAACATGTCGCGCACATCCTGGCCTTTGCCTCGGTCTCTCTGTGTGTGCGTTGCAAATGAACGGGAACTGCAGGTGCCTTTTAATGATGCAGGAAATGAGTTAATGCGCCCATCAGGGCCGCCAACAGCGTCTGTCAGCCAGGCCTGGACACCAGCTCAGTCAACCGTTTACGTCGCCCCATCCATCGCACCAGCAGTCGGCCGCATGCAAAGCGCGCCCAGCTGATTGGCATCCGTGGCCCCAGCAACGGCAGATGTTATATTGTCGCCAATGTCATTAGAAGCAAGCGTTCACTAATCAGCTTATCATTATTACATTGACGGAGAGCGGGCCGAGCAGAGCAGACGGCGCAGCGCAATAAAAATCCTTGTATTGAAGCCTAAGCGCATTAGGATAGTTTGCCAGTCTCAGCCAACGTAATCGACAAACACAGAGCCAATGTGGGCAGACTGACTGGCCGCAGCCCGAATACACTTCAGTTTTATAGACGGCGTCCATCTGCAAGAGTCGAAAATAAGTCAATATGCTATCGCCTTTTTATAAAACTAATTCAAGTCCTGTAATGTACGCGTCCCATTGGAATTGCTGCTGATGCTCTGCAATGCATTGCTCCAATTAATTATTTCTGATTAACAAATAAAAATCAAATTGTTTTGCTATTCGCCTGCTGAACGCAAATGGTGTGCAGTTAAACTGTGCAAAGTTTAAAAAACCAGGGCTGCAAGCTAGTTGCTTCACGCGATAGTTTCAAATATCGATTGGCATAACAGCTCATGGAATAAGCTGAGCTTTAATTTTAATTAAATATTAAGATAAATACACAAATAAAATCATTACAACTAAAACTAATGATTAAAATTACAACTAATTAGTGAGACGATAAATATTAATATCAAACAGCATCCATCGATCTATCGCAATGTCCATTAAAGCTCATCACGACTATCGATATAAATAATTTGAAATTTTGTAATTTTTTGCATGCTTCTCTTTCTCTCGATCAATTAACTTTATATTTCTGGCTTAAATTGAATATTTGTGACTACGAAGTATTTATCTAATGTAAAGAAATTCAGCAGACTTGTAAAAAGCTGAGAAAGCATTCTTATCAGACAATAACCTTAATATCCATCTGTTTATTTATGCGGAGATATAAATATTAACTTTGAATCACAAGTTTTGAATACAGGCGGCTGGTCGAGTCCATAAAAGCAGGATTTTTGTTGCCCTCGATTGATGGCTAGCACATGTTGCGATAGACTATTTATGCCCAGCCCAGCGACAGGGTATTATAACAGTCGGACGTAAAATAAATCAATTAAAAGATTTCGGGTTTTTCGGGACGCCGCGCATCGAAATAAGCCAAAAGCAAAGCTAATTAGTAAAGTCCACAGGGAGCTGACAGATGGGTAGGAGCGGGGGCTGAGCTGGTTCTGGGTCTGGCTCTGTTTCTGTTGCTGTGTCTGTGTCTGTATCGGGGCATTGGGTGTGGGCGTGGCTGGTCAAGCATATTGTGATGCCATTATCAGCGTATCATTAATTTAATGTGTGGCACATTAATTGCCGCATTGCGCATACACAGCAATATGCGCTGCAAGTGGAAATGGCAAATGGAAACGGAAATGGAAATCAGAATGAGAGAGAATGAAAATGAGAGCAGAGAGCAGAGCCGTCTGAATGAAGGGGAGATGGGAGAGGGGAGAGTGACGCGAACATAGATAGTTGATAAGAATAATAGGCATAATAATGCGAACTGCCTTGATTTCTAAACCATATTAATTGGATGACTTTGCGTATCTTTGTTGTATTCAGGCAGCACAGCGAATCCGGATGCGAAGCGACTCTACGACGATCTGCTCAGCAACTACAACAAACTAGTGCGTCCCGTGGTGAATGTCACGGATGCGCTCACGGTGCGCATCAAACTGAAGCTATCGCAACTGATTGATGTCAATCTGAAGAACCAAATTATGACCACCAACCTATGGGTGGAGCAATCCTGGTACGACTACAAGCTCAAATGGGAGCCCAAGGAATATGGCGGCGTCGAAATGCTGCACGTGCCCTCCGATCACATTTGGCGCCCGGACATTGTCCTCTACAACAAGTGAGTTGGCCCCATTTACTAGCCCTAACAGCTGACCATAACACCAAGCATCCCAATCCCCACCAAACAGCGCTGATGGCAACTTTGAGGTGACGCTGGCCACAAAGGCAACACTCAACTACACAGGGCGCGTCGAGTGGCGGCCGCCGGCCATTTACAAGAGCTCCTGCGAAATCGATGTCGAGTACTTTCCCTTCGACGAGCAAACATGCGTCATGAAGTTCGGCAGCTGGACATACGATGGGTTCCAGGTAAGTTTCCATCAATCAATCGAGCTATCCATCTATGCATCTACATTCCAACTGGGAGAGTGTGAGAGAACTACGAATTGCTCTTTAATGTTTCCAATCTGAATAATCGATGTGTTGGGCATAAACACTAACCATAGAACACTGGACAAGTAGAGATAACTTTTTCTACCCAGGGCATAAGGAGCATACGGGACAGTCTCGGATAGTCTCGGGCAGTCAGTGTATTGTATGGTCTTACATTACATCTGTCATGAATAGACAATTAACATAAAAACTAAATATTCGCATAGTGAGGAGAAATATCTGAACTGAGTTTCCCTTTACCTAAAACAAAAATATTTTGTTTTTAGCTTACTTCCGAATTTCAGGTCTAGCTTTTGATGCGCTTCCAAATCGTGATCAAGCGTATATAGACATTCCCTTACGTCTTTTTATAAAGCCAATGCACATTCCGAGTTTATGCAAATATCGTAAATTCCGTTGGCTACTTTCATTCAGGTCACGACTGTTCGGTGCAGCTGGATTATATGAGTTGTAATCGAGATAAAATGTAGAAGAATTATCGAGCTGATAGAGCGAAAAAGAAGGAAGAACAGAGATGGGAACAGAGCTTAGCTTTTCTATGCCATTTGCACTTTGGAAATTGGGCGCCTGTGGATGAGTTCTCTGAACAGCAGCAGCAACGGGAACGGATCCTGCGGCTGGTTTAGTGGCTATAAACCCAAATTCGCTCATAATTCGTTGTTGTGGCATAGAATTTCTCACATTTTATGGCCGCACAGAGGAACGGGCTGCATAAAATTGTCTCTGGCGACTTGAAAGCACACCGAGAGAGAAAGAGAGAGAGAATAAGAGCAGGAAGCTAGAGACATTTGTGTAAACAAATATAGAACAGGACGAGCCAAGGGACAATAAGGTGGCCTGACACCTGTCGGCAATAATAAAGACAGACACAGACAGCGGCGACAGTTGAGGCCTCGTAAAAGGCGTTGTGCAGGCGAGGCTGCAGCTGGCGCTGTGGTCGTACATGGGATATGAGGCATCAGGCGTCAAGGAAGTCTGTGGCATGAGGCATGTGCCATGTGCCATGTGCCATGTGGCATGTGGCACTGGCGTGGGGATGGCGTTAATGTTGCCACCCGGCAGCGACTTGGCAGCTAATGAAGTGGCATTAGAGCGGCATTCACTGCTCGCTACGACTTTGCAGCTTAACGCAAATGAGCCGACAAATGGCCCGCAGCTCTTGACAGCAGCGCAACAGCAACTCTTTTTAGCCGGGCCTTTGCTACCTCATGGTTAACCGCACATGTGGTGCTCTGCTCTGCTCGGCTCGGCTCAGCTCAGCTCGGCTCCGGCATTGGCGGCCATAAAAAACTCGCACTGCATGTGCAGCAATACCTGTCCTTGCCGCAGGCGTAATGTTGCCCTGGCTTTAATCAAATCTTGTTACCCTCAATGATGCCAGTCTGTTCAACAAGCTAATGTCTCTGTGCGTGCATGTGTGTGCATGTGTGCATGTGTGCATGTGTGTGTGAGGTAGTTATGCAATTCTCTTAGCTGAGCCGAGGCAAATTGCTGCTAGTTGTTGCGTAATGCAACTTGCAGAACTGCTGTTAATTTGCATAGCTCACACGCACAGACAGCCGTCAATCACACACGCACACATACGCACGCATAGCAGCGCCCGCTTTTTGCAGCATACTTTGCGGCGCACAATGTGTAAAACGAAAAAGAAGCAGACGAAGCTGCGGTAGACGTAAATTAGATAATGAAGCTGTGTAAATGTATGCGAAAGCAAAGAGCGACGTGAGCAGCTAGGTGAAAAGACCACGAAAGGAGGAAGAAGAAGAGCCTATTGGCACAGTGGCAAAATGCGTGAGAAAAAAAGAGAAGGCGGCCGCAATGCTAAAGATGATGAAATGTGGCAATAAATAAGACTGAAAATAATTGTAGAGAGCAGAGTGAAGACGAAAGCGAGAAGCGAACGAAAAGTGAAGGGAAATGAGAAATGGAAAGTCTTAAAGAATCACAAGATAAACACGAAAAGCCAAGGGAGCAACAGAAAACAAGACCAAAATTAAAAAACTCTAAGAGAGAAACAAATCAAGGCAGCGAATGAACGAAAACCCGTAAGAAGGAGAATAAAAAATCCAGCAACAATAAAAGCCAAGCGAAACACAGCAAAGATCAAGCAAATTGACAACAAAAGCGCGAAGCAAAAAGAAGAGACAAAATCGTAGCGATATGCAAAGCGAAAAGGCATGAGAGAAGCCAAACAAGAAATTAGTGTCGTCAGTTAGCAACGATAGTTATTTAAGAAATATCGATAGTCGATGTTAGTGCAATGCGATGAGTAGTCGATATGCTCAAGAGTAAAACTGCAAATAAGCGAGAGAGAGAGAGACAGAGAAACTAAGAACGGTTGCTGTTTAAATACAATAAAATTAGCATGAAAACTAAGTGAATAAAGGCAAAAGTGGAAATCCACAAAAGAAACAAAAAGGGAAAAAACAAAATGAATAACTAACTGAAAGCCATATCAATTTAATAAGATATTCTTACATATGCTCATCCATAATTGTTTTACATACGAATTTTATCTAGACTGCGTACAGCTCATTGTTTTTTATTGCTCAGCTCTCAGTACTTGTAGGTTCCCTCTGCTTCTTCTTGTTTATCTCTAACTCTTCTACTACATACATACATAGCTCTAATTTAGGGCAGCTGTTCACTAGCCAGGCCCCCTTCTGCCCCTTGTCGCAATGCTTAACGAATACATTAAGCCTTCCACTCGCAGCAGCAGCTAACTACACTGGCCTACACGCATTGGGTCCACAAACTTGGCAGACTTTGACTTTAATTTGCTAAAAAGCCAATCTTCATTTGGCATTAAAAGCCAAGCCAGGGCGCTAACAGCATTTGACATGGCACGAAACGCACAAAAACGTGGCTATCTGTTTCTTGACTGAAATTTCTGACTCGCACACACTAAGTGTGTGTATTAGTGCGCGTGTGTGTGCGTGTGTGTGTATTATTGTCATTGACAACAATTGTTGTAATGTTGTTATTGTTATTCGTGTTGCTGCTGCTGCTGTTGTTGTTGTTGTTGTCGCTATCAACGCCTCATTGTTTTTTTTGTTTTGTTTTGTGTGGACGCGAATGTGGGCATCGTTTGTGGTCCACATAAATCAACCGCAATAAGCGGTATCAACAGCGTCGTATCATAGCATATTTATAAACTCTCCTGCTGTACATATAGAGCACGCCGTAGCGCACACAGCGGACAACAAAGCGTAGCCCGTTGGCACAGTTGGCTGAAGCATGAGGCGAGGGGCATGGGGCGTGGGGCGTGGGGCGTGGAGGTATGAGGCACGCGGCACGAGGCCGGAAACAGAAACTGGACTGCTTAATGGCCGCTGGGTTGGCTTCATTGTGAATTGAAAGCATTTACAATTGTCTGTCAACTGTGCCCCAGTGGCGAAGCATTCCCAGCTCTGTCTCAGACTGATGCTCTCCCTCTTCCCCCCTCTCGCTTGCACTATCTCTCTCTCTCTCTCTGTCTCTGTCTCGCTCTTTTTACCTTGTGTATAGCTTCTGTCGCAACAAGCAACATCTTTCGGTGTCGGAAATATTTCAGTAAATCGTAACTTCCTTATAGTGAAATTTCCGCTACCACTTAAAATAACAATTTCCGCTTCAGCAGTTTCAGTTACATTCACACAGTTACAGCTAACGGTAAGAAGTGCTTATAAGTTTGTAGTTGTAGCTGCAACATCGCAACAGTTGCACCTGGCAACGTACATCCTGCCTGATTGCACCCGCTGCCTGCCCACGTTGAAAGCCAGCGAACGCCGATTGCACGCCTAATTTTATGTGAAGAAATCCAGAGCACACCAAACCACGCACAGTGGGGCAAACAGCTGCAGTTGTGTTTGCTAGCACAAGAAATCAAAAATCTTAAAGCAGTCAAGTGGGTAATACAGATACCAAAGTTTCGATCGATAATTAAAGTGAAGACCAGATGAGTGCAAATTTGAAGAGCTCCAGGGTATGCCAAGCAACGCACAGTGGAACAAACTACCAAGATTGTGTTTCGTATAACAGCAAGTAACGCATAGAAGACAAGTTTTGTAAATCTCTATTGCCAAATTAACTTGCTTTCCTGACTGAATGAGTATTAATCGATAACTAAAATGAAAGCTAGAAAAATGTATGCAGAAGCTTATTTAGATCTATCAAGGCTGGCAAAAGAATTCATGTTATATTCCCTTTCAACAAATGTGAGCAACTGTCAGAAGAAATCATGGTAGTTTCCATCTAGTTTATATAGATTTTTTCATCAGACTTGCAAATTGTATCGATACTACGAGTAGAACCTGCATGTCGTTCATCTCTCTATCTGACTAAAGAGACGAACAGAATATACATATATCAAATTTTAATTGTTCTTCCATCTCTCATATCATGAATATCGATTTTTATCGATTTAATATATTTGTATGTGATTTTAGGAGCATTGCTCAATTAAATGTTCTGCAAAGATCACTCTTACGAAATGCTTTAAGATGTTCAACGCCTCAACAATTCGAAGCACACCTTCAATAAAACTAGGGTATCTCAAAGTCAAGCACTTGACCTGAACTTGCTTTAAATGAAAATTGAAACGTGCCTAGAGAAATATCGATGTAAGCAAACGAGCAAAATGAATGTACGAAACAAATTTCTTTCGCCACGAATATCTCCAGCACTTTAAACACAACGATAAAGTGGATAGAAAAAAGTAAAACCTTGAGACTAGAGGGCCCGATGAGCAATCTGAACGCAGTCAGCTTTATGCCAATTACTTATTATAATTCGCGCTGATGGCCCAATGGCAATGTGTTGACTCTGCATCAGCATGCACTGTCGCCTCATTCACATGTGTGAGTGTTATGTGTGTGTGTGTGTGCTCATAGGCTCAATTTTTACAGTTGATTTGACACAAAGCGGCATTAGCTTAAGCGCCCCGCCCACCCAGGTGTGCCAGTCGAGTTGACTAAACAGTTGAATCGACTCGATGCGACTCCACTTCACTCCACTCCACTTCACTTCACTCCACTCGGCTCGCCTCGCCTCGCCTCGACTCAAACTCCCATCGCCACTCAGCAAATCGAATTAACGTCACTTTTCAAATTTCACGCTATTCTCATCGTGCACACCTCTGCTAAAAGAATTGCCATCCCCACTGGCTCTAACCGCCAATCGACCAACCACTCGACCCTAGGCCCTACTCTACGACCCATAAGCAGCTCGCCCCCTAGTGGCACTTCCTACCCTGTACCTGTGTACCTTTCTCTCTCTATCTCTCTCTCTCTCTCTCTCTCTCTCTCACTCTCTCTCTCTCGCTCTTTCTCGCTCTCTCTGTCTCTGTCTGCCTCTTTCTGTGGATGTTAGCTCATTGAGGTGTAAACGTCGCCCCCTTCCATCAAGCTCACATCGAAAATCGCATCAAAAACCGAATATGAAAAAAAAGAAGTGATCTGACGAACTTCTAATGCCCTAATTAAATAATAATAATATGAAAACTAATACTACTAATAATAATAATATTTATATTAATAAAAATAATATGAATAATTATAATAATAATATAAATAATTATAATAAATACGAATAATAATACTACAAAATGATAATATGAATAAATAAAAAAATATTTAAAAAAAAAAATAAATTATATGATCTAATGAAGCGATTATCAAATTAGTAAAAATGTAATTTCAACAAAAGATTTTATGTGCACAATAATAAATGAAAAATTAAAAAAAAAAATTAACTAAAAAATTAATAAAAAATAAATTTAAAATATAATAATAATAATAAACCATTTCCCACAAGCTCAAAAAATAAACAATTTTTTGTACTATATAGTATATACAAATAAAAAGTACTATATATACAAAAATACAAGTTTTATATATCTAAAAAAGAAAACCTTTCAAGATTATACATATATATGAAATTTTATGCATTTAAAGATCTGAAAAAATCTATTATATTTTAAATGTGTATACACAAAATCCGTTTTATATAGGTCATATGAAAAATGCATTATTAAATTTAGATTTTAAACGATATAAATTTATTAACTTTTTATAAAACAATTTGATAATCAGTAAAAAAAAAAATGTTTACTTATCCAAAACATTGATGACAAATTACAATGATTTCCATCTTTTGTGACCAATTTCAATATTTATTAATATTAATTTATCAATATCGAATAGCTCAGATTCCAATTTCAGTTTCAGTTTTTCATATGGCATATTTGAGGGAGGCTAAATTAGTGAGAGAGAGCTTATAATAGAGTGAGCTAATTATAGAGCTTAAAAAAATAAATAAATATGTAAATAAATAAAGAATGCTAAAACATTGACTAAAGTACCATAAACAGATAGAGCAGTCTCTGTTAAAGTTTATGGTTTATGCAATTTATATTTGATTCCCTCGATTATGTATGTATTGCTCTTTTAGTTATAATTATATATTTATGTAATCTGATTGCTGGCACTGAGCAGAGTGCAGAGTGCGAATCTGATGTCTTAGCTGCAATCGCCTCGGCTCGGGGGCGCAGAGCATTCGAGAGAAACACGAAACAGCTGGCTTCAGGCTTCAGGCATCAGCTTGTGCCAGTTGTGTGGCTGGCATGCCAATTGCAACGATGTCCTGAGCTGTCCTGTCCTGTCCTGTCCCGTGCTGGCCTGTCCTTTCCTGTTCACATCCTGCACTTGTTCTATACTCGTGTCCATTCTCTGTCAGCTGCAGTCGTGCCGAACTAAGCAAAACTGAAACAGAAATTGAAGTGCAAACTTGTCTGGCTTAGCTTCGGCTTTGTACACTCCAAATGCTCTCAGCTGCTCCTCCTGCTGCTCCTGCTGCTGCTTATAGCTGGCGACTATTTGAATACTCTGACTTGGAATGTGAATTAATTTGGAGCTCTGCAATCACTGGGTGCAGCACTCGCCAGCCACGCTCTGCAGGGTATGCCAGGTGCGGTGCCGGCCACGGCGAGTGCGTGCTCCATTTCTGTGTTTTACTATTTCGGCAAGTCGAACATGCTATCTGCTGATCCAGCCTCGCACAGCAGCTCAATTATGTGCGCTGTCAACGTGTGTAACCCTGTAATTGTCTAATCACTCTCGCTCTAGCTCTGTCACTCTCACTCTATGCTATAGTTATTCTAACTCTTGCTCTCTCTCTCTTTTATATATGCCAGGTGGATCTGCGTCACATCGATGAACTGAACGGCACCAATGTGGTTGAAGTGGGCGTGGATCTGTCTGAGTTCTACACGTCCGTTGAATGGGATATACTTGAAGTTCCTGCAGTGCGGTAAGTTTTCAAATACAACAGTAACAACAACAGCAACAACAACAGTGAATCTACAAACAGCAACAAAAAGAGCTTTGGCAGCTGCTTTGGCCAACTTTTGGCCGCTGTCACAAAACACAAACACAAATCTTACGAATGTCAGAGCATTTTGCACAGGTCAAGGATGCTAACAACAACAACAACAACAACAAGCAAAGGCAACAACAACAGCTACATAGAATTTGCAATGACGACAAGTTGCTGATGATGAGCCCGAGTGCTGCTCGCAGTGGGCGTACTTATGGGCGTGGTCGACAGTTTACCGCCAATATTTACACTTGTACATGAGGCGTCTGTTTCTCTTTTTTTTGAGGGGGGGAGGAGAGACCTTAGTTCCCATCGCCCGTGCCCCCTCACCCACCCCTCAAGACTCCACAAATCGCAAGTCTCTGTGAGTCGGCGAAAAGTTTTTAAATTAAAAAACTTTGGCGCCGGCTGCCAAAGGAACAGCTTCTGGACAGTGAGTGTATGTGTGTGCGTGTGTGTGTGTGTGTGTGTGTCGCACTTGTAAACAATATATAGAGATGCCTGCTTAATTGCCACGCCCACAATGCCAGTACCTGAAGCAGCACGCTTGTGTGCACACATCAGCATTTGCTGTTGCTCTTTCTTGGACGGATGAGAGGAGCTGGAGCTGGAGCTCGACCTGGAGCTGTAGCTGGGGCCTAATGTGCTTAGCCCCAAATACAAAAGGCAACAATTTCAAAGTGTTTTCGCACATTTTGTTGCGTCGCGCAAAGTGCACAAGAAGTTGCCGCCTTTGAACAGCCTCTGAGAACATTGGCAAATTAAAAGCCTAAACACACACACACACACATACACATGCACACATATGCCTACACCTACACACTCATACACTGCCAAGCCGTGCCCCTCGAGTGTGTGTAAATTTCGCTACTCATTTCAAAAGCTAATCAAAGAATCAATTCATGCAGAAGCCATAGCAAATGATTTGTAACTCTTGCTGAGGCACGAAAGAGGAGACTGCTCGACTAGGAAATACCCTGTACGCTGCTAAATTGTAGTTGGACGGTATACCAATCATTCTGCGCTTGTATTATGCATATAAAGTAAAGAACACTCATGCATAGGCCAGCACGCGCTCTGCTAACTGCGCAGTTGACTGCGCTTGAACTGAAATTAGGGATATACAATGAGAAAGAATGATTTGCTGAACAAATCTTCTTGTATATAAAGTCTCTATAGTTCAAACTTACAGAACGGGATAACGGTATGTGTGCTTATAGTATTTTTTTAGTATTTTTTTTAGGGGTGCACCCGGGCGTAGGCACCATGGTATCTAAAATCTATAAGTTACAAATTCTTTGGTATGCATTAGATGCATCCACAGAGTAAATCTGTAGTCACTATCTCTAGCAGCATTTAAATTACGTTTAAAAAACAAGGTAAATATCGATCACTGTCGATAACAAAGAAATGAGTGTAGTTATCGAAAATATAAAAGAAGCTCATACTACATTTTGTATTCATGAGTGTACATGTAAAATGTCAAGTCTCTAGCTCAAGTAGCTTACGAGATCTTTGCGTTCTATCAAAGTGAAGAACGGGTGATCGAAGCCAGATCAACTCAGTGTATCATGCTGATAAAATATTTGTTTTATGGGGAGTACCATGCCTTCATCTGCCTATAACATATATTTGATAAATGCTGCTGAAACTCGCTCACCATATGATATATGTCTGTATACATAGAGATATTTCGTTTGTACAAACTCAAATTGTCAAACTATTGTCAATCACTCAATCATAGATTGTTTTATGTTTTCCCTACTGTTCAACAACAATATGGGGCAAGAGTCCATTGAAGATTACAATTCGTTTCTGGAAACGTAAATAAAACCTTCACTATTATTCAATCAGTCAATCAGTCCGTGATTGAGGAGAACCTCATTGCTCACCTGAAGCCACTATATAATATTTACTATACATATTTAAATGTCTTTAATACTAGTTTTATATGAATATATCATATATAATATATTATCAATCGGTCAGTCACTCTACTAGACAGTCTAAGGCTTTTCTCATAGTTCAATTCATCCCATACTCTTATATTATATTATATTTTATATGAATATATATATATTATTAATCCATCAGTCAGTCAGCTTGACAGTCTAAGATTCAATCAGTCTCATAGTTCAATTCATCCCATACTCTATCAATCAGTCAATCGCTCATTCAATCAGCTATTTATTTTTCTTGTTTTCCCGATAATTTCACTTTAAATTATGTCAAAGCAGACTTGAATATTTCATTTACAGCCGCTTTAAATGAAGCCGGATAATCAATCAGTCAGTCAGTCAGTCATTTGCACTTGCCATTGTTCTATTGTGCCCACTGTGCTTCGCTGCTGTCGGCTTAAAGCAAAGTTTCAATGCCAATCAATCGGCCAATCGGGCGCTTTGATTGAATCCCAATATTTGCGCAAAATGTCTGTATATTTCATTTAATTTAAAGAAGACCCAATCAATTATGAACTATTGTCATCAATTGTGCAAGGCCTTCAGCACTTGATCCAACTAGTCCCCCCCTTCCCCTCCAAACAGCTCCCCGCTCTGCCCGTTCCACTATCGTATGCAGCTATTGTAATGGCTGCAGTTTACGGATTAGCCGCTTGGCCGCACTGAGCTGGCAGCGAGGATTTCACCGGCGCGACAAAGTCCAGCGATAACGGTATTAAGCTCGATGTGTTTGGTTATAGCCAACAACAACAACAACAACAACAGCAACAACAATAGTGAAATGCAATAATTTTGATTACATTCGCATTTCGCGTTCGCAATATTGTTGCTACCTTATACAGTTAAACGCCCTTGATTTAGTTCCCTTTTAGCGCAAGCTTTTAAATTTTTTTGTATTTTCATTTTTATTTCTTTTTTTTTTTTTTGGAGAGAGTTGCCCCAACTTTCGAGCCCCCGGGCAAGTGAAACGCAACTGAAATGAAATTTAAGAGCAGAAAACAAAAGTTTTTATTTTGCTCGAAATGTTCATAAAAAATGGGCAAGTGCTCAAGATGTCAATGAGCGTGTGTGCCTGACTAATAGATACCCTGTATTAGCTTGATGCGTTCGGGAATTGAAAGAGTCTTGAGCTTGAGATTTAAGATGGACTGAAGAGTGACAGAGGGATAGAGACACAGAGAGAGGGAGAAAGAGATAGAGAGAGGGAGAGAGAGAGGGAGAAAGAGAGAATGAGAGAAAAAAATAGATAGAGAGAGACAGAGAGAGAGGAAGATGAGGAGAGAATCTAATGTGTCTTAGTCTTAGGCCTTAGTAAACTTTTTTAAAGCAAAACAAATTTTATTATAGTAAATTTATATAAAATGCATTTATACAAAATTTGATTAAATTATATCGATTTTGAAACAGCAAATGGTATATACCGTATGTATCATAATCCACATCCACATCTAAAATAAATAAACAATATAAATATATCCTGATATATTCCCTTTAATTTTCGATACTTGTACCTTTGCTTCGTGGGAAGTTCAGATTCACTAAAGATCGTCTTATTGTGGTTACAGGGTATATGTGTTCGGTTACAAAATGTGAAAGGAACCGAGCACACGCTTTGTTTTTTGGCATTGTTGCTCTGGTTGTTGTTGCTGCCGTTGTTGCTGCTGTTGTTTGTTGTTATTGTTGTTATCAACGTTGTCGTTGGCACGCGCGCCAGCCACAAACATGTCGCGACGCACAGCGTCGTTACGGGTGTCCGTGAAAGTGTTGTTTATGCCCCAAGCAGCAGCAGCAGCAGCAGCAGCATAAAGGCCACACACACACACATGCAACGCACTTACACACACACACACACACTCGCACACAACAAGAAAGAAGCAAACGCTCACCTGCTGCATGGCGTGTGCGAAATGCACTCGCTGCGGCACATTATGTGTGTGCTTGTGGCAAGCAGCCATCAGTGTGTGTGTGTGTGTGTGTGTGCGTGTGTGGCGCACACTTGCCACCAACTATTTTCAAGTTGCGTGCAAATCTTTTGTGATTAATAAATCGCCTTGACCTCAGCTGCAATTCACATGAGCAGCGCCTCAAGCCAAGCGCAAGTAAAGTTCTAAAAATATTTTACATACAATTGTTGTTTATAGGGTATATAAAGTCGACTCTCGATATTTCAAACCTGCGATGTTTCGAACCCCCTCATTATCGAATTATGTCCGCGTAGTCGCTGGAACTGTTACTCGTGTTAATGCTAGCAGCATCATTCGATTGCTCAGCTTTGCTTTCTATTGATGCAATATCGTGCTTGATTTGAGATCTGAGTTCAGCAGGTGTGGTACCTCTCAGTTTCTCAATTTCATTAATTTTCTCAATGTAACAAATTTTCTAAATGTTTTTTTGTTTATAGTTAACAAATATTTCCATCACGATTATGTATAAGCAATGTTGATCATTATCATCATCATGCCCATCATTAATTGCGATATTGCGCAGCTCTCTGTCTCTCGGTATCTCTCTCTTTCTTTCTCTCTCTTTCTCGCTGACTCTCTCTGTCTTTCTCTCCATGTCTAGCACATTTTCCCCACTGTCCGTGACACAGCACATTTTCTGTCCCTGTCTCATGTCTTTTTCTCTCTCTCTCGCTCTCTCTCTCTGTCTAAATCTGTCTTTATAAGCTTGTGTCTTTCACTTTCACTTTCCACATCTCTCTCTGCCTCTCTCTCACTGTATACATATTTTATCTTTTTCTCTTTCCTGTCTTCTCTCACCCTCCCCCTTTTCTCTCTCCTCTTACTCTTTCTCTCTCTATCTCTTCTCTCATACTCTTTCTGCCTATATCTTTCTTAATAAATATCTATCTGCCTTTTTCTTTCTATTTATATTTGTTCCTCTCTTTCTCTCTCTCTTTCTCGCTCTCTCTGCCTACCATTTTCTTCCTCTCTGTCCATCCTTCTCTGTGTCCAGCTTTCTCTCTCTCTAGAG